TGGAACGCCTGGACCGATTTCAATGAATCAAGTTTCATTCGGAAGAGGATTAAATTTGCTACAAAATGGCCTCTCTCGTGGAAGAGTTCCAAAATTTTCCCTTTGCCAGTTTCCCAGAAAAAAATTAAAATGCAAGAGGTGAATTTTTCTTAAATAAGTCCATTTTCCAGAATTTTTCCTGGAGTCATTTTCCATTGGAAAATTGTGAAATTTTCCTATAATGAGCTCCTGACTTTCCTGTTTCTCCTGTAAAAATTTCGAAATTTTCTCTTTGCCAGTTTTCCAGAAAAAAATTAAAATGCAAGAGGTGAATTTTTCTTAAATAAGTCCATTTTCCAGAACTTTTCCTGAAGTTATTTTTCATTGGAAAATTTTGAAATTTTCCTATAATGAGCTCCTGACTTTCCTCTTTCTTCTGTGAGAATTTAAAAATTTTCTCTTTGCCAGTTTTCCAGAAAAAAATTAAAATGCAAGAGGTGAATTTTTCTTAAATAAGTCCATTTTCCAGAATTTTTCCTCGAGTCATTTTTCATTGGAAAATTTTGAAATTTTCCTATAATGAGCTTTACACTTTCCTCTTTTTCCTGGAAAAATTTCAAAATTTTCTCTTTGCTAGTTTTCCAGAACAAAATTAATTTACAAGAGGCTTCATTTAATTTAAAAACACTGGAAAAGTCTCGGAAAATCGGAAAATTAAGGGAAAAAAAGTTGGTTTCGGGACTTTTTCAGATCCCCTCTACAAAATGGCACTCTTGAAATTTCGAAATTCTGACTTTGATTTTTGGTCCTATACCTACACTACAGAAAACTCTGAAAATTACAAAAATTTAAACTTCAACCAGTCATAGATCGGTAACCGTAAGTCGTAGAGGAAAACTGTTCATGGGCAGACTGTAGAACTCGACGAGATCTACAAAAAAAGCTCAGTGAGTTGTTCCTCTACGACTCACCATTTCCAAGATATTCCACTTGGAAATTTTAAAATCGATAGAAAGGATTTTTTTTCAGCGAAAAAATCAAAGTCAAAATTTCCCGGATTTTTTTTCATGACGTCATAGAGGACGTTCAGACAAATGTCGGAACCCACTTTTCCCCCCTCAATTCTCAATTTTTCCTGGAGTTTTTGATTTGTTCCTTTATAAGTTTCTCATGAAAAAAATGGAAAATCGAAATTTTCGAATTTCGAAAAAACAATTGCATAGAGGAGGGAAAACAAGCAGAAAACCTATTTGGCATTTTCCCGTAGGACGTCTCCTAAGCCGGGAAAAAAATTGAAAGAAAATCTATAGGGATGAGGCTTTTCCAGCCTGACATGATCCCATTAAATCGGCCATAACTCTGGAACGCCTGGACCGATTTCAATAAATCAAGTTTCATTCGAAAGAGGATTAAATTTGCTACAAAATAGTTTTATCCAGAATTTCCAGATTTCAGGCCTTTAAATTTGAAAACTCCTTAATTTTTCATATTCAAATCGGAAAATTAATCGGCCATTACTCTCGAATGCTTTGATCGATTTGAACGAATCATGTTCCATTCGTTAGAGGATTTTAATGAGCCTAATCGCATTGAAAATAAACAATTTTTCTTAATTATTTAAACAATTTTAATAATTTTATTAGCGGCGCCATCTAATAATCGAGAGTCTAACTAAAAATTGAAAAGTTACTATGACAGGAATCTGTAATTCGCATATTTTGGCTCCCGACCATTTTGTTCGAAAATTTGCATAATTTATCAATTATTTTATCGGTTGTATTGATTTTTCTTGATTTCAATTGCCTTAAACAATAAAAATTACTTTATTTTGCATTGAAATCAATTAATTACCATTACAAGAATCTGTAATTGGCAACTTCGGCCGCTCGTTGATAGATAGCGCTGGTAGTTTAAATAATTTGTTTTTTCGAATTATTATTAATTTCAATAATTTTTCTATTGATTACTTACTTTATATGTCTATATTTATCACTTTTTATCAATATTAAATCACTATTCTCTTATAAATCGAGTGATTATTGTTACAGAAATCTGCAATTTGCAAGTTTGGATAGTTGGAGGTTTTATGCAAATGTGAGTACTAATTAGTTAATTTCAATGTTTTTTTCAACTATTAATGGTTTAATAATTATTAACTATTAGTAATTAAGCGTCATTTGTATGAAAATCGCATTAGTTTCATTTAAGTTTTGGCTTCTCGTTAATAGATGGCGCTAACAACTTTGGTGATTAATTTTTACATTTTATTCGATAATTAATCCATTTTGATAATTTATTTAATCGTCAATCGTCCAAAATAATCATATTTGGCAATAACTGAATATTATTTGTTTATAAATATATTTAATTATTATTACAGAAATCTGTAATTTGCACTTTTGGCCCCTAACGATTTGATCCAAAATTTTGTTATTTATTTCATTAATTTTAAGGAAGGTATTTATTAATTAAAATTTCAACCCGATTCCAACGTAATTAGTTTTCAATTAAAGCTAATCAAATTATTTACAAATTTTCTGTGAATGATTCCAATAGTTTTGCAGGAATACAACTATTAGTTGTAAAAATTCCTTTCAAGGAGCTTTAAACACTCGAGCTACTCGCTTCGGTGCTTAGTCTCCCCCCATTTGCAGGGAACATAATATGCGTGATACAACAAACACTTTTCGAAAGGAATAAGCGCGTGAAGCCCCGGAGCTGTTCCGGAGCTCCTCCTAGGTGTGAAAGGAATACAACTAATAGTTGTTCAGAGCCACTTTCCAGTGCCCAAATTGTTAGAGTATCATGCTCCTAAAATGTGACGCTTTTGAACTGTTCGACAGCAGCACTGGAACGCTCTCGTCTTAACCCCCACCATTTCGGATTTCAGAGAGATGCTTTCCAGTGACCTATTTGAGTTACTCCGGAGCAGCTCAAGAGTGCTCCACAATTACTTTGCGCGTTCCAGTGCTTAGAGTGTCGTACACTTGAACTACCCATTTTCAATGACATTTTCTGTTATCCCCTGCCCCCTCGTACACCAACCTTTATTTCGGTGTTTCATGCTCCTGAAGTGCGAAATGGTGGGGGTTAAGACGGGAGCGTTCCAATGCTGCTTGTGTGGAACAGTTCAAGTGCCACAGTCACACTCCAGGAGCATGATACTCTAACAATTTAGGTACTGGAAAGCGGCTCAGGAGCATGAAACATGAAACACAGGCAAAAGTGTTGGTGCACGAGGTGGCAAAGTTGCCAGACGTCCCACCTTGGGAGAGACAGTCCCGCATTTTGTTAATCGGTCCCGCCTTTTTTTTATTAATTTCAGGTCCCGCTTTTCACGCGAATTGTCCCGGTTTTTCCGCTTTTTCCACCCAATCTCCGCATTTAGTGCAAAAAACACGCTCAATTTACAACTTGTTACATAAATAGCTATTTCTACATTTAAAATCGACGCAAAAATCAAATAACGAACCTGAATCGCAAACATTTCATCGAGGTCTGCGGATGACGTTACCAATATTAGCTGCGGACGTGGTGACGTCACTCGCAGACCTTGTGGACTCGAGAACCGGCAAACGTACGCCTTCTCAGGATGAACAATCCTGTTAGTTTACGATTCTTGGGTTTTAATAATAAATGTTGTATGTTGTGTAGGCATAAAAATGTCAAAAATTCCAACAAAATCCAAATCTCATTGCACAAACAAACTAGCATCTGCAAAAAACTTTTTTTCTGGCCACTGAAAAATAGGCATCTTTCGATAAAATAGTGATAAAATATCTAGTGACGAAAGTGAATCATTAGGATTGAACGTTGATTCTTCTGCGGAACTATTGTACCATAGACTTAAATTATTTAAACAATTTTAATAATTTTATTAGTGGCGCCATCTAATAATCGAGAGTAACTAAAAATTGAAAAGTTACTATGACAGGAATCTGTAATTCGCATATTTTGGCTCCCGACCATTTTGTTCGAGAATTTGCATAATTTATCAATTATTTTATCGGTTGTATTGATTTTTCGTGATTTCAATTGCCTTAAACAATAAAAATTACTTTATTTTGCATTGAAATCAATTAATTACCATTACAAGAATCTGTAATTGGCAACTTCGGCCGCTCGTTGATAGATAGCGCTGGTAGTTTAAATAATTTGTTTTTTCGAATTATTAATTTCAATAATTTTTCTATTGATGACTTGCTTTATATGACTATATTTATTACTTTTTATTAATAATAAATCACTATTCTCTTATAAATCGATTGATTATTGTTACAGAAATCTGTAATTCGCAAGTTTGGATAGTTGGAGATTTTATGCAAATATAAGTACTAATTAGTTAATATCAATGTTCTTTTCAATTATTAGCGGTTTATTGATTATCAACTATTAGTAATTAAGCGTCATTTGCATGAAAATCGCATTAGCTTCATTTAAGTTTTGGCTGTTCGTTAATAGATGGCGCTAGCAACTTTGTTGATTAATTTTTACATTTTATTCGATAATTAATCGATTTTGATAATTTATCTAATCGCCAATCGTCTAAAATAATCATATTTGGCAATAATTGAACACTAATTATTTATAAAAACATTTAAGTTATATTACAGAAATCTGTAATTTGCACTTTTGGCCCCTAACGATTTGATCCAAAATTTTGTTATTTATTTCATTAATTTTAAGGAAGGTATTTATTAATTAAAATTTCAACACGATTCCAACGTAATTAGTTTTCAATTAAAGCTAATCAAATTATTTACAAATTTTCTGTGAATGATTTCAATAGTTTTGCAACTAGCCTAATATCGCCATCTATTATCATCATGCCTCAAACATTTTGAGCTTAGTACAATAATCATTGTACAATAGTTCCGAAGAAAAATCAACTTTGAACGCTGCAAAGCAATCTACAACGAGGACATGGACAGGAAAATCAAGTTTGTCCTAAGAAAAAACAGGGCCGATCCATTTCCAGGATGCTTATAAATTATTTATTGTAATAAATTTAGTACATTTAATTAATTAAAAAGTTTCAAGTTTTTATCGCATTCAAACGGGTTCAAATCCTCAGTAAACGGGTTCATTTTGTCGTCATAATCATCAAATGGGTTCTTTTGTGGTCTGATTCTGCCCTCTGATTGGCGCAAACGGGCTTCCGTCACACTAAAACAAAACGTTATTTTTTTTAATTCAAATCAATTATTATAGTAGAAGGTACTTTTGATCCACCACGATTTTTGGTGTTTTCCCTTCAGCAATTCTCAGCCTTCCTTCAGTGATTGGAGGCTTGTAGATGTCCAATTTAGGCTTATTAGATTCAGGTTCGATTAGGATTTTGTAATTGTTAAAAACCCCCCGGCCGAAATATTCAGCTGCAACTGAAAAACCATCATGAGCCTTATCAAGTTGGAAATGGAAAGTTTCGTGCAAGTCTTTGTTGTATTCTCTTGCTTTTAGAAGCTCTATTAGGTTTTTGTTTTCGGGTTGGCAAGTGGGACAGTCGTTTTCGTCGTCGGAAAAACTCTGGAAACAATGCTGATGGAAACTGTGTCCGCACAGGAAATGGATGTTGGGCAATTCCAAGGGACGATGGCAGGCGGCGCAACGAGACCCTTGTATTCTTGTCACCCCATTGCGAAGTTCGTCCAAGCGTTTTTTGAGTTTCTCGGTATCTTTTTGGTAGTTTTTGGTGAGCTCTGATGTTTCCTGGGTCTTTTTGATTTCTTGTTGGAACTCGTTCATGATGTAGGACCTCATGTGGCCCAATGAGATGCTTGCATTGCCAGTGCCAACTGCGTCGATTACTAGTTGAGGTGAAAATAGTTTTTCTTTGGCTATTATTACTGTTAGGACCTGGCAAAAGAAAAAATGGTTAATGGTTTGTTATTACAGTAATCACAAACCATCATGATATCAATGTGAAATTATATATTCTGAATCAGAAATAAATTATCTGCAAGATAAAATAAGATTCAATTCTCTATCTTAAATACTTCTGAAGATATTGAGGCTCAAAGTTGAAAACTTTGTCTCAAATTTGGTAAAAACTTCAAAGTCGTTTTTCTTGGAAACGAAGCCCTTGGGCTGAGAGTTTCAAATAACTTTTTTTGTAGCCCTTATTAAGAGCTACAATTGAGCAAAATATTCATGCCGATAGCTTCACTGGTTTCCAAAATATGACCCTTTGAAATATTTGAAAATCAAATTTGTGAAATGTCCCACTGTCTGAGTGTCTCAAAAAAATTAAAAACCCTAAAAAAGTCATGATTTTTGTCAATTTTCAATTGTATAGGCTCTATAATCTGACGGCGGAGCATTATTAGCTATTACCAATATGGCACAAACAGCCCTCAGAATTTATGAGAATCCAGAGTTAAAAGTCGACTTCACACTAAATGAATAAACCAAGCCTTAGACTTGCAATCCAAAAACCGCGAATTTATTTCCAGAATCCAACCAGTGGCTGGGCACGTGGGGCAAACACATGAAATCGCCCATGTTCAAAACCCTAAAGGAAACCCAAAAACTCAACCATTTTCCGGGCACATTCCAGCTGGGCCGCAAAGACAGACTGTGGCGCAACTTTCAAAAAATGATTTCCAAACACGGCCTTAAGGAGTTCGGCTTTCTACCTCACACCTACGTACTACCTCAGGAACTCAAACTGCTCAAGCAAAATTGGGATTTCAAAAATTCATCGTCTTGTAATAATGAAATGTGGATTATTAAACCAGTAAGTAATACGGCTTATTATGAAATAAGACTATAATATTATTTCAGCCAGCATCTGCCAGAGGCGTAGGCATTAAAGTAATCAACAAATGGTCTCAACTGCCAAAGAAAACCTCATTGGTGTGCCAAAGATACGTGCATAATCCCTACCTCATAAATGGAAGCAAATTCGATTTAAGGCTGTACGTTTTAGTAACAAGTTTTCATCCTTTGAGGATATATTTGTATCCGGAAGGCTTGGCCCGATTTGCCAGTGCCAAATACAGCGATGACGTCAAAGACCTAAAAGACAGATACATGCATTTGACAAACTATAGTATTAATAAGCTGAGTAGTCAGTATACGGCTAATGAGGATGCTAATGCTTGCCAGGGGCATAAGTGGACTTTGTCTAAATTAATGGAATATATGAAAAATGAAGGTGTCGATACTAGGGGTTTGTGGAAGAATTTGCAACAACTAGTCATTAAAACGATTATTTCATCTGAGGCCCTTGTCACACCTCTTTGCGAAGAAAACATGAACAACTACTATAATTGTTACGAGTTGTTTGGGATTGATGTGCTATTGGATGAACATCTAAAGCCCTGGCTACTAGAAGTCAATATTTCGCCTAGTTTGCACAGTGCTTCGCCTTTAGATGCGCATGTAAAGGGCCCTTTAGTACAAACCCTATTTAATATGGCCCAGTTTCACTTTCCAGTCAAATTGGAGCAGAATATTAAGACTGCACCTCCCGGTTTCCAGCCGCGATTGTACACAAGGGCTTTAACCAAAAAGGAGAGAGTAAAGCATACTAGATTTGTTTTGTTTGAGGAGAGAGAGGATTATGTTTATGATGTTTTGAAAGAGCTAACGGGAGATGATGTGCGGCAATTGATTAGGGCCGAGGACGAGTTTATTGCTAAGGGCCAGTTCGAAAGGATTTTTCCTACTAATCACACTTATAAGTATTTGCAATTTATGGAGCCCCGATATTACAATAGGTTGTTTGATGCTTGGGAGACGAAATACTCTAGTAGGAGGGAAGATGGCATTTCTTTGCTGCAAACAATGTGCTCGCAAAAGGTGCATTGTAAAGTGGGCGCCCTACATAAGGTAAGCATTTTGGTTTTAAGGCTTTCGCATTAATCAATTTTTTTGGAAAGACAAGAAATTTCATTGTGGCCTGTTTGCGCGCCGTCTGCGCCCAATGTCGGAGTAAGTTGGGGCATATAAAACGACAGAGCCTTATGTGTGTTTACTATATAGAGCCAGTTAATATAAATAGTTAGGCTAGAGTTTTAGATTATTTACATGGTGTGTATAGTTGAAATAGATAAATGGTATTAGGCGTCCCCCCACGCCATTTTATCGGCACAACTGTCAGTGTCAATTTAAAAAAAAAAAAAATGTCGTATGTAAGATCAAAATGGCTGCTTTTCCCTTTTAGAAAAATTCGAATTTTTAGATTTTGCAATTTTTGACTTTACCAATCGAAAAAGGAGGTGAAAATTAGTGGAAAGACATTTACGCAACTTTGTTTTTCGGGTTTTAGGGCTTGTGAAAAAATAAAAACCGTTTTTTTCACATTTTGGGCCCAGAAAATTTCAATAATCTGACATGGTTATGAGCAATTGCCCAGATCGTTATTGAATTTTGAGCAAATGGAAATAAACTATATACTATTCGAAAGAGCATTAAATTCTCTATAAATCGGTGCAAAATTGAGTTTGATAGCTCGAATAGTTTTTGACACATAGAAGCTCAAAGTTGAAATTTTGTCTCAAATTTGGTAAAACTTCAAAGCCGTTTTTCTCGGAAATAAAGCCCTTGGGCTGGGAGTCTCAAATAACCTTTTTTGTAGCCCTTATTAAGAGCTACAATTGAGCAAAAGATTCATGCCAATAACGTTTATGGTTTTCAAAATATAAGCATTTGAAATATTTGAAAATCAAATTTCCATGCATACCCCTTTGGAAAAATTCGAATTTTCAAATTTTTGGATTTTGCAATTTTTGACTTTACCAATCGAAAGAGGAGGTGAAAATTAGTAGAAAAGCATTCACGCAACTTTGTTTTTTGGATTTTAGGGCTTGTGAAAAAATAAAAACCGTTTTTCCACATTTTGGGCCCATCAGAAAATTTCAATAATCTGACATGGTCATAAGCAATTGCCCATATTTTTGTTAAATTTTGAGCAAATTGAAATAAACTATATACCATTCGATAGAGCATTAAATTCTCTATAAATCCGTGCAAAATTGAGTTTGATAGCTTGGATAGTTTTTGAGATATAGAAGCTCAAAGTTGAAACTTTGTCTCAAATTTGGTAAAAACTTCAAAGTCGTTTATCTTGAAAACGAAGCCCTTGGGCTGGGAGTCTCAAATACCCTTTTTTGTAGCCCTTATCAAGAGCTACAATTGAGCAAAAGATTCATGCCGATAGCTTCACTGGTTTCCAAAATATGACCCTTTGAAATATTTGAAAATCAAATTTCCATGCCCCTTTGAAAATTTGGAATTTTCAAATTTTTAGATTTTGAAATTTTTGACTTTACCAATCGAAAAAGGAGGTGAAAATTAGTGGAAAAAACATTTACGCAACTTTGTTTTTTGGGTTTTAGGGCTTCTGAAAAAATAAAAACCGTTTTTCCACATTTTGGGCCCAGAAAATTTCAATAATCTAACATGGTCATGAGCAATTGCCCATATCGTTATTGAATTTTGAGCAAATTGAAATAAACTATATACCATTCAAAAGAGCATTAAATTCTCTAAAAATCCGTGCAAAATTGAGTTTGATAGCTCGAATAGTTTTTGAGATATAGAAGCTCAAAGTTGAAACTTTGTCTCAAATTTGGTGAAAACTTTAAAGCTGTTTTTCTCAGAAACGAAGCCCTAGGGCTGGGAGTCTTAAATAACCTTTTTTGTAGCCCTTATCAAGAGCTACAATTGAGCAAAAGATTCATGCCGATAGCTTGACTGGTTTCCAAAATATAGCCCTTAGGAAAAATTCGAATTTTTAAATTCTTGTTTGAATATTGAAGGTAACTTGAAGGATTTTGGAAACCATTTAGATACAGGGGAAAGTTGTATTGCACAAATACTACACTATAGTTACGCCCTCTGTCATAGTTGAATCGAATTAAATTTAGCCCCCTCCCCATCAGTCAGCTAGAGAATTTTAAAATTTAATTAATTAAACGTGTATTTAGATTAGTTGATTAATTAGTATAAGAAAGTGCTGAAATTGACAATTATAAATGTCTCTTCAGCGCTTTCATAAATTAGAATCCCCCAAACAGCACACAAACGTCTTTTTTAGGTCTGCATTACATCTTAGAAATTTGTCCTAAAGACGTCTTTACACGCAGACGTTTTTGCGCTGTCTAAGCTAAGTTTATTTGATAATTATTTTCGAATTATTCTAGAATTGTCCGAGTACGATCCTTGCCAGCAACATGCAACCGTCCAGCAAGGGCCAAACGAGACCCCCCGAAGAAATCGCCGAGCAGAATACACTAGCATTTAACCTGCCAAATAACGAAGAAGAAAGCTAATAATTTACTGCCAAAAAAAATTGTAATTTGTTTTTCTAAAGCTGCATTCCATTACAATCTGTGGGAAGCCAGCTTAAGATTGGATTTAAAAAAAATAATAATAAAATTATAAATTAAGTCTTCATTTTATTATGTAATTTCAATAAACTATTCGTCTTGTAAATCAATCTCTTGCTCTTCGAACGTAGTCCAAGAACCTGTAAAACCAACTATAGTCAAACATATGAGACTATTGACAACTTACTGTCACTTAAGTTGTCCACCATGACGTCAGCAGGGATTATAGGGGGCGCCTCTTGCCTGTGAATTTCGTGCATTTGCACGTTAATGTCCAGTTGCATCCTGACATCCAAAACCATAAACCCTACTGTTATTAAAAGGGGCAACCTGTACCTACAGTCCCATGCTAGTTTTAACAGGAACATTAACGGGGTTGTCATTGTTGCAGACTCACTCATACTTATTCTATAAATAAAGACAATAAATATTTTTTTTGTATAGGTGTTTTATTAATCAAAATAATCAATTGTGTCTCCGCTTTTGTAGGCTCCCTTATGCAAAATGTCCAATAGTTTTGCAACAGTTTGCGTAGTTGTTAAGACACTTGACTGACGCATTTGTTGGAATTGAAGCCTCAAATCCTCACTGTCAGCCTTGTCGCATATTGAATTAAACATCTCTGTAAGCACCGGGCCGGGGGAATAATTCAAAACCGTAACATTAGGCTGTTCTAGTGCTAGAACTTTGAAAAATAGCTCTCTGGCTGCTTTGCCTGTACCATACATTGACATGTTGGCAAATGGCACTCGGCCTACTAGGCTCGTAATATTAACCACTACAAGCTTAGGTCCAAGGATTTTGGCCAAAAAAGCATTGTTTAATAGGATTGCAGAAAACAAATTCAAATCGAAATATTGTTGCCAGGTTTGCAAATCGTTTAATTCAGTGGTTTGTTTTAAAACCCCCACATGGCCTGCATTATGGAACAGATAAGCAACCTCTATACCAGATAAGTCAATGTTGGACAACATGTTCTCATATAATGCCTTGTCTGGTTTAGATAAATCAACTATATGAGTCAAGACAGTTAAAGACTCAGATATTATGAGGCTTTTGGTTTGGTCCAAGCCCTCTTGACTGCGTGCTAGTAAAACCAAAATCGACTGAGAATGTAAAAGTTTCCCTAACTCAACTGCTATAGTTTGGCCAATGCCTCTAGAAGCCCCCGACACTATTACTAGTGATTTTTTGGTAAAATCCATTACTTACTAAGCTGATCGTACTTGATAAGCTCAACTGCTTCTTCTTGGCTCAGAGAGTCAAAGCTCAGTTGCAAATCTGAGTCTAGAAGTCGTCTCAAGCAAGCCTCGCGTTTCTCTTGCAATTGCCTCAGAAAATCAGGATCTGACTTGAGTTTTCTGAGTTTTGTTTCTGCAACCATATGGATATGGATAAATGGATTAATTTTGAAAAATTATTTACCTAAGATTGCTAAGTATTGGGCGTGGTCTGGGAGTTTAGGTGTTGGCGCGAAATTGTCTTCGAATTTTGTTATTTTTGTATTGTTTTTTTTTGGGGTGATGGGCCAAGGATCGGCCATACTTGAATTATGAATAGTGTCAGCGTCAAATAGGCTTTCATCTCTTTTTGTCTCGGCTTAATAAAACGAGACAGCACATACTCTCATAGTTTTTTTTGAATGAATATAAATATAATCAATGGGCTTTGTTTACTATTAAAATACTACTCCCCAAATAATAATAATGGCTTTTCTAGAGGTAGGTAAATACAATATTATTTTCCCAATATATGCAATAATTCTATTAATATTTTCAGTGGCGCAAATTCAATTTCTTCAGCCTTAAGCCCAATATAGACGGGAACCGCCTTTGCGACCATTTTAAGGTACATTCACACTATATAAATGACTCATTAATTTAATAAAATAATCGCAGGAAAGCAAAATCACTTGCACATCAGCAGGAAACAACCACCTAATTTTTGGAGATTCCCTGGGCCAAATATCATTGGTTTCCAGGTCTTGGCACACAGTCACTTACCGGGCTTACGAGATTTCAATCGAACTTGCTTACCAATTGAGAAACTCACCTTTATTGGTTACAATAGGGGTAAGAACCAAAGACAATATTGTCACTAGAACATAATTGATTATTGTAGCATGATGAGCCAGGTATAAACCCTCTAATAAAAGTCTGGGACACGAGCAAATTTGACAAAAATGGGACGCCTTTTTGTCTTAGGGTCACTAAAGCCCTTGCAGGGCAAGTGAGCGCCTTAGCTGTAAATGACAACCTTATAGCTGTTGGATTTACTGACGGCTCACTAGTCTTATTTAGGGGGGACATTTCAAGAGACAGAAGCTCCAAACAGAAAATCTTTAAAGAATTACAAGGCATTACAGGCTTGGCATTCAAGATTTCAGCCAACAATAGTTTTCTCTTTGTCTGCACTGAAAGAGAAGTTGTAGTTTATAATATAACCAACAAGGATAAAGAGCAAAAGGTTGTCATTGGGTTTTAATTAAATAGGAAACATTCTTATTTGGTTTTTTAGCACTTTCTAGACACTGCTGGATGTGCCAAGTACTGCAATGTATTGGCTGATTTCACTCAAGAGAGTAACTTTATGGTTGCCAGAAATGATGTGAGTAATTGTCACTTAAAATTGACAACTAGGTATAATTGTCATTAAAATAACTGGCATTTAGGTATAACTGTTATTTGGAAATGACATTTAGACGTTAGAAAAACTTCAGACTTTCAAATAGTTATTGAACAATACAAGTCTAAAGTCAATCCTGATAAATCACTTACCTTAAGAGTACTTCTGCGTCTTCAAATTTCAGAATTCAATATTGTCATTCTTTGAAAATTCACTAAAAGTACCTATACTTAACACAAAAAGTACCAACTGAGTCAATCTGAAGTTCAGATATAAAATTATGAGGTTTTTTCCAACTTTATACCAGAAAAAGTTGGAAAATCATCTTTGAAAAATCCAGAAAAATACTTCAGAGTATCAGATCGACTTGAAACTTTCAGGATTCATTAACCAGGATGTTTTCATCAAACAAGGCAAATTTGAAGTCAATTTGAAGCTCACAAATAAAATAATGAGGTTTTTTCCAACTTAATACCAAAAAAAATTGGAAAATCATCTTTGAAAAATCCTGAAAAATACTTCAGAGTATCAGATCGACTTGAAATCTTTAAGAAGTCATAATTAGTCTCATTTCAGGCAATCTACTGTTACACATCAGACGGCAAAGGTCCCTGTTACGCAGTAGAAGGCGAAAAAACAATCCTGGAATGCTTCAGAAGCTACTTAATCATAGTGTCCAAAAGCACAAAAAAATCCGAAGACCGCCTCACTGTATTGGACATTTACAACAAATTCATCGTATTTCAATGCGAAATGTCCAATATACGAGCCATTTTCCACGAATGGGGCTCACTTTTCGTCCTCACCCGAGACTGCAAACTGTATCATTTAGATGAAAAAGACTTGCAGTCCAAGTTGACTTTACTTTTCAAGAAAAACCTCTACGACGTTGCCATTAGGATTGCTAAAAGCCATCAATATGATCTTGATGGTTTGGTTGATATTTTTGTACAGTATGGGGACCACTTGTGCGACAAAGGGGACTTTGCAGGTGCAATTGAGCAATACATAAAGACCATTGGCAAATTGGAACCCAGCTACGTTATACGCAAGTTTGTTGATTCTCAACACTTGGAAAAACTAATCATGTATTTGCAAGTATGTTAATTGAGTAGTTTAATTATTGATTTAATACAATTTCTATATTATTTAGGCACTTCATAAACAAGGCCAAGCTACAGAAGATCATACCACATTATTACTCAATTGCTACACAAAATTAAACAACGCTATTGGCCAACAAAGCGACAGCCTTAAGGAGTTTATCCAATCAAAAGATGACAACTACGATGTAGATGTTGCAATTAAAGTTTGCAGACACGGCAGCCCTGCAGAGGCCTTAATGTTGGCCAAAAGGCACAAAGAACATGATTGGTATATTAAAATTCAAATAGAGGACCATCAAAAGTATCTAGAAGTTTTAGAATATATAAGCAATTTGCCATTTGAATTGGCCGATCATTACATGAAAAAATATGGGCAAATTCTAGTTAAACATCTGCCCTATGAGAGTACGCAGTTTCTGAAACGTCTTTGCACCAATCACGATTCGATGCTCAGCAAATCTGATCCAGAATACTTCATTCATTTATTTCTTAACAATTCCGAGCGTTTGGTTGAGTTTTTGGAGCATTTGATTGGAGAAGGGTGCGTTCTGAGTCCTTCCGTTTACAACACTTTGTTGGAACATTATTTGCACGTTTGGGCCACTGTCGAGGCTGTAAGTGAACGCAACAAATTGACTCAAAATGTCTTGGAGCTGCTTCAAAATCCGGATATTAGGCTTGACAAGTCTCACGCTTTGGTTGTTTGCAATATGCATTCGTTTAGCGAAGGGATTTTGTATTTGTATGAAGAGCAAAAGTTGTATCAGCAAATTTTAAGGTAAATAATACAACAAAATCTCTTCTTAATTTTAATAGGTGTTTCTATATGATATATAGATATCACATTGCCAGGAATGATCCCAGCTCTGTGTTGGCTTGCTGTACCAGGTTTGGCCATCAGGACCCAACATTGTGGGTTCAAACTTTGTGGTCTTGCGTTAGAGACAACAAACAACCTTCCATGGATCTTTTAAATGAGGTTTGTTTGCACAGTAATATATATAATAATAACTTCTAAGTCTAATAATGAATGATGAGTTTTCATTGGCCAGATTTTTAAATAAATAGGAAATATACATTGTGACAATAAACAAAGTAGGTACTTACCCCCAGGGCCTTATATAACACTACTTATAACTTAAAATAACAGTTTATTTTTTTTAAATTTGGGCGGCGGACGTCCCCTCCATCTTGTCGGCACGACTGACACAACTCGACTGTCACTTTTCAAAAAAAAAAAAAAAGAAGAAGCTTTGTGACGTTTCCCCCACCCTTATGTCATTTATGTAAAATCAAAAATGGCCGCTTTTCCAAGGCCTACTCAGTTTGTTTGTTGCAGAAAAAAAAAGAAGACGCAAATATTTACAATTTTTGTTAATTTTTTAATAAATAAGTGGGAATTGGACAAGGATAATACACACCTTATCAATAATCGCCGCCATATTGGTGTGTCACCGTTTCTGACGTCAGTTGTTTAAATAACCTATAATATGTTAAGGCGAGAAATAACATGGTGCTGCATCACAAGTGGTGATTTGGCATGCTACATAATTATGAGGATCGTGTAGTAATAATGAAGAGGTCCTGTATATCCGCTATATTCTTGCTCAAATATTTCATTATTGACTATAGAAGTTGAGCCATATTTCCATCGAATCTTTCCAAAAGGACATTTGATTTTCAAATATTTCAAAGGGTCATATTTTGGAAACCAGTGAAGCTATCGGCATGAATCTTTTGCTCAATTGTAGCTCTTGAGAAGGGCTATGAAAAAGGGTATTTGAGACTCCCAGCCCAAGGGCTTTGTTTCTAAGAAAAACGACTTTGAAGTTTTTACCAAATTTGAGACAAAGTTTCAACTTTGAGCTTCTATATCTCAAAAACTATCCGAGCTATCAAACTCAATTTTGCACGGATTTATAGAGAATTTAATGCTCTTTCGAATGGTATATAATTTATTTCAATTTGCTCAAAATTTAATAACAATATGGGCAGTTGCTCATGACCATGTTAGATTATTGAAATTTTCTGGGCCCATAATGTGGAAAAACGGCTTTTATTTTTTCACAAGCCTCAAAACCCAAAAAACAAAGTTGCGTAAATATTTTCCCACTAATTTTCACCTCTTCTTTCGATTGGTAAAGTCAAAAATTGCAAAATCCAAAAATTTGAAAATTCGAATTTTTCCAAAGGGGTATGCATGGAAATTTGATTTTCAAATATTTCAAATGCTTATATTTTGGAAACCATAAACGCTATTGGCATGAATCTTTTGCTCAATTGTAGCTCTTAATAAGGGCTACAAAAAAAGTTATTTGAAACTCTCAGCCCAAGGGCTTCGTTTCCAAGAAAAACGACTTTGAAATTTTTACCAAATTTGAGACAAAGTTTTCAACTTTGAGCCTCAATATCTTCAGAAGTATTTAAGATAGAGAATTGAATCTTATTTTATCTTGCAGATAATTTATTTCTGATTCAGAATATATAATTTCACATTGATATCATGATGGTTTGTGATTACTGTAATACCTAACAAACCATTAACCATTTTTTCTTTTGCCAGGTCCTAACAGTAATAGCCAAAGAAAAACTATTTTCACCTCAACTAGTAATCGACGCAGTTGGCACTGGCAATGCAAGCATCTCATTGGGCCACATGAGGTACTACATCATGAACGAGTTCCAACAAGAAATCAAAAAGACCCAAGAAACATCAGAGCTCACCAAAAACTACCAAAAAGATACCGAGAAACTGAAAAAACGCTTGGACGAACTTCGCAATGGGGTGACAAGAATACAAGGGTCTCGTTGCGCCGCCTGCCATCGTCCCTTGGAATTGCCCAACATCCATTTCCTGTGCGGACACAGTTTCCATCAGCATTGTTTCCAGAGTTTTTCCGACGACGAAAACGACTGTCCCACTTGCCAACCCGAAAACAAAAACCTAATAGAGCTTCTAAAAGCAAGAGAATACAACAAAGACTTGCACGAAACTTTCCATTTCCAACTTGATAAGGCTCATGATGGTTTTTCAGTTGCAGCTGAATATTTCGGCAGGGGGGTTTTTAACAATTACAAAATCCTAATCGAACCTGAATCTAATAAGCCTAAATTGGACATCTACAAGCCTCCAATCACTGAAGGAAGGCTGAGAATTGCTGAAGGGAAAACACCAAAAATCGTGGTGGATCAAAAGTACCTTCTACTATAATAATTGATTTGAATTAAAAAAAAATAACGTTTTTTTTTTCATTGTTTTAGTGTGACGGAAGCCCGTTTGCGCCAATCAGAGGGCAGAATTAGACCACAAAAGAACCCATTTGATGATAGGGAGGATTATGACGACAAAATGAACCCGTTTGAATGCGACAAAAACTTAAACCCTTTTAATTAAATAAATGTACTAAATTTATTACAATAAACAATTTATAAGCATCCTGGAAATGGATCGGCCCTGTTTTTTCTTAGGACAAACTTGATTTTCCTGTCCATGTCCTCGTTGTAGATTGCTTTGCAGCGTTCAAAGTTGATTTTTCTTCGGAACTATTGTACAATGATTATTGTACTAAGCTCAAAATGTTTGAGGCATGATGATAATAGATGGCGATATTAGGCTAGTTGCAAAACTATTGAAATCTTTCACAGAAAATTTGTAAATAATTTGATTAGCTTTAATTGAAAACTAATTACGTTGGAATCGGGTTGAAATTTTAATTAATAAATACCTTCCTTAAAATTAATGAAATAAATAACAAAATTTTGGATCAAATCGTTAGGGGCCAAAAGTGCAAATTACAAATTTCTGTAATATAACTTAAATGTTTTTATAAATAATTAGTGTTCAATTATTGCCAAATATGATTATTTTGGACGATTGACGATTAGATAAATTATCAAAATGGATTAATTATCGAATAAAATGTAAAAATTAATCACCAAAGTTGCTAGCGCCATCTATTAACGAGAAGCCAAAACTTAAATGAAACTAATGCGATTTTCATACAAATGACGCTTAATTACTAAACGTTAATAATTATTAAACCATTAATAGTTGAAAAAAACATTGAAATTAACTAATTAGTACTCACATTTGCATAAAACCTCCAAACTTGCAAATTGCAGATTTCTGTAACAATAATCACTCGATTTATAAGAGAATAGTGCTTTAATATTGATAAAAAGTGATAAATATAGACATATAAAGTAAGTAATCAATAGAAAAATTATTGAAATTAATAATAATTCAAAAAAACAAATTATTTAAACTACCAACGCCATCTATCAAGAAGCGGCCAAAGTTGCCAATTACAGATTCTTGTAATGGTAATTAATTGATTTTAATGCAAAATAAAGTAATTATTATTGTTTAAGGCAATTGAAATCATGAAAAATCAATAAAACCGATAAAATAATTGATAAATTATGCAAATTTTCCAACAAAATTGTCGGGGGCCAAAAAATGCCAATTACAGATCTCTGTCATAATAAATTTTCAATTTTTAGTTAAACTCTTGATTATTAGATGGCGCCACTAATAAAATAATTAAAATTGTTTAAATAATTAGGAAAAATTGTTTATTTTCAATGCAATTAGGCTCATTAAAATCCTCTATCGAATGGAACATGATTCGTTCAAATCGATCAAAGCATTCCAGAGTAATGGCCCATTAATCTTCCGATTTGAATATGAAAAATTGTGGAATTTTCAACTTTGAAGGCCTATAACTAGGAAACTGGAAAAATCTGGAAATTCTGGATGAAAGTGTTTTGTAGAAAATTTAATCATCTTTCAAATAAAATATGATTCATTGAAATCGATCCAGGCGTTCCAGAGTTATGACCAATTTAATGAGACCATGTCAGGCTGGAAAAGCCCCACTATAGATTTTCTTTTTTATTTTTTTCCAGGCTTAGGAGACGTCCTACGGGAAAATGCCAAATAGCTTTTCTGCTTGTTTTGACTTCCTCTATACACTGCAATTTTTGTTTTTTCAAAATTCGGAAAATTTCGATTTTCCATTTTGTGGGATATAGAAAAGGCAAGGAAAATCCTGGAAAAACGGGAAATTAAGGAGCAAAAAGTGGGTTCCGACATTTGTTTGGATGTCTTCTATGACGTCATCAAAGAAAATCCGGGAAATTTTGACTTTGATTTTTTGGCCGAAAAAAAAAGGATTTTAAAATTTCCAAGTGGAATATCTTTGAAATGGTGAGTCCTAGAGGGAAAACTCACTGAGGTTTTTTTGTAGATCTCAACGAGTTCTACAATGTAGCCACGAACAGTTTTTCTCTAGGACTTACCGTTATAGAGTTACGGCTGGTTGAAGTTGAGATTTTTGTCATTTTCAAGAGTTCTCTGTGTTATAAGGATAGGCCCCAAAATCAAAGTCAAAATTTCGAAATTTCAAGATAGCCATTTTGTAGAGGGGATCCCAAAAAGTGCCGAAACCAACTTTTTTTCCCCTAATTTTCCGATTTTCCGAGACTTTTCCAGTGTTTTTTAAATTAAATGAAGCCTCTTGTAAATTAATTTTTTTTTCAGGAAAACTAGCAAAGGGAAAATTTTGAAAATTTTTCAGGAAAAAAAGGAAAGTGTACAGCTCATAATAGGAAAATTTCGAAATTTTCCAATGAAAAATAACTCCAGGAAAAGTTCTGGAAAATGGACTTATTTAAGAAAAATTCACCTCTTTTTTTTAATTTTTTTCTGGAAAACTGGCAAAGGGAAAATTTTGAAATTTTTCCAGGAGAAAGAGGGAAATGTGGAGCTCATTATAGGAAAATTTCAAATTTTTTCAATGGAAAATGACTCCAGGAAAAATTCTGGAATATGAACTTATTTAAGAAAAATTCACCTCTTGCATTTTAATTTTTTTCTGGAAAACTGGCAAAGAGAAAATTTCGAAATTTTTACAGGAGAAACAGGAAAGTCAGGAGCTCATTATAGGAAAATTTCACAATTTTCCAATGGAAAATGACTCCAGGAAAAATTCTGGAAAATGGACTTATTTAAGAAAAATTCACCTCTTGCATTTTAATTTTTTTCTGGGAAACTGGCAAAGGGAAAATTTTGGAACTTTTCCACGAGAAAGGCCATTTTGTAGCAAATTTAATCCTCTTCCGAATGAAACTTGATTCATTGAAATCGGTCCAGGCGTTCCAGAGTTATAACCGATTAAATAAGACCATGTCAGGCTGGAAAAACCTCATCCCTATAGATTTTCTTTCTAATTTTTTTCCAGGCTTAGGAGACGTCCTACGGGAAAATGCCAAATAGCTTTTCTGCTTGTTTCGACCTCCTTTATACAACGAAATTTTTGTTTTTTCGAAATTCGAAAATTTAGATTTTCCATTTTTTTTATAAGAAATTCATAAAGGAATAAAGCAAAAACTCCAGGAAAAACTGAGAATTGAGGGGGGAAAAGGGGGTTCCGACA